TAGTACCTCCAGAGTAAGTCTGCAATGGGGTCTTACCTAGTTTTGAAAGTCCCACAGATGTGTGCCCAGCGACAAAGGAAACCCACTCTTCAGTCTTCACAAAATCCTAGAAGCAAAGTTTACAGCAACAAATTGAATTCTAAGAACTCATGGAAGTCATAATTAAGAAATGCAGGTATTTTCGCATGCTATGTCACCCACGCTCAAGTGCTTCTTCGCCAAGTGTGAAGCTGGTGTTTAAGGCACACATTACATTCTGATTCCTAAGTCAAGCTGACAAGTTCATCTAGCATTCAACTAGAGAAACAGCTAGTCCTTTTCCAATCATGGGAGAGACTGACCAGGGTAGGCTTATCCTGAAATTAATATGTTGAATCCAAGAGACTTTCAAGGCTGATATTTTTTTTCTATATGAGGTTTCCCCTTCAAAGCGGACTTCAGATACTAACCCCTATATAAGGCAGAATCCCACTATAGGAATTTAAAATACCCTACAAACAGGGAAATCCCAGAGTTGGTTTAACTTGAATGTTTTGAACTCTTGATATTGTATTAGTACTTTGTTTAATACATTTTTACAGTGTAACAGGGCCACATGAGCAGCCCTCAGGACTCCTAGCCATCACTTTCCAGCTGGGAAATGAATAATGTTTTGCACTAGAGGTGATGAGTACCATGGTCTCAGGAAGGAGACCTGAAGCCATGAAGATGGCTCATCAGGTAAAGGCACCTGCTGCCAAGGCTGGTGACCTGAGTTCAGTCCCTAGGACCAACACGGTGAAAGAGAGAACCAACTCCTGTAAGTTGTGCTCTGATTCCCACAAGTATATCATGGCATGTGCACCCCTCTGAAAATAAATGTCATTTTTAAAAGTTTGCGCTTTAAAAAAGTGGACCTGGGAATGACCTAGAGGCAGAGAAGAAGGAGAAGGCAGTCCTGGAAGGAAGCTAGGGTGACCAAAATTTCCTGAGTGAGAGAAGGTTTGTATTAGCAGCTGGGGTTGCTGACAGTATGGTTGGCAGTGTGAAGGCTGTGATGAGCCTGGAAATGGCAGTTCTTGAAGGTGCAGTGGGAATGAGGGCATCTGACTGAAAGGGGTGAGAGTGGGGAAACTGAGGATAGACAGTATTGGCAGGAAACAGGTGATTTTGTGTGTTCCTCGGGGAGGGGGGAGTTGTCTAGCTTCATGCATACTGGACATGCGCTCTACCACTGAGCTACAGCTTCAGTCTAAAAACGTGCATCTCAGCTCAAAGCTGGGCAATCACCCACATCATACAGTGATGCTGGAGGGGTGGAGAGGAGCACAGGCTGCTGATTTCAAAGGCAGGGCCGGGACTCAGTCTGACAGTTGTCCCAACTAAGCCACATCTCTTATCTGATTCTTCTTCCAAGTCAACTGGTTTCCTTTTAGGAGACAGGGGAGTTATTTATAGTGTGACTATTATTTCAAAATATGGCAAGGGAGACTTTGTGTCTGCAGTAGCATTTCCTATTTGTAGGAGGGAGGACAGCTTTCCTGGCTCCAGGAGCCTTCCCACTGATCCCTCAGATCTACTGCTCTCCATAGATTATTGATAAAGCTTGAACTGCTAAAGTAACCGTCTCTAAAAGGAGAAAACCAAAATGGACCCAATTGGAGACGAAAGCTCTCAAAGGTTTCCTGCTTGAGCAATGAGGCGGAGGTGGCAGGCCTCCCCTTTGCTCATTGGAGATTCGTGTTCTTTAGGGCCTCAAAGAATGTCCCAGTTTCCACAACACACTTCAACAACAGTAAGCCTGAATGGCATCTGGTGACAGATAAAGCCGCTATATGTCACACAGTGGAGGGCTGTGCTGTCAAGTCTTGTTCAGAATTGCATTTAAAACCTGGAAATCAAATGATGTGTCCAGATAACTTCTGTGGTAAACCCCAAACCAGTTATATGTCAGGTTTAGCCTTTGCATTTCTAAACAGTGTGTCTTTATTCTGTCCAGGCCAATGCTCAGACCTTCCTGCCAGCTCTATCAAGTAGTATGGAGCTCAATATACCCTCTGTGTGCACATTAAAGGGTCAGTGGCCAGACGAGGAGTTGCCTCTCCACCGAGAAAATCTCCATATTTGACATGTCTCCTCAATTTGAACATCAAATTGATGCCTTTCTTCCAGTTTATTGGGTTATTTTCTCATAGCTAAAATCTGACAGACAAACAAATGAAAAACAAACAAATAAAGCAAACCAACTGCTCTTTAAAAGAAAAGAACTCCTGGTTCTTTTCTAGAAACTCCAAATTTCATTTCTAGATCCACCTCCCTTTAATAGGTCTAAGCTAGTCATTGAATGGCATTTTCTTGTCACTTCTGTGTTCTCAAAAATATCCAAGAATGTCAGTGCATAGATGACCTCTTTGTGGCTCTTTCAGGCAAGAAAATAACCCAATCTTAGGAACAAAGATAGAAAATGTTATTTAATCTTTGTTTTACTAGTGAGGAACCAAGGGAATGTGAGGGATGAAATGTCTTGAGCAAGCTTAATGGACATTGCTGAAGAATTGATGGAGCTTTCATTGGTGTATGCCCCTTTGCCAAAAAATAGTTTCCCCTGGAAGTTGCTCTGGGCATTGCTTCTGTCCCCCATGAGGAATTCTGCTCTACTCTGTATATGAGCTCAAGACCACATCTGACACTACAAGATACCTGTACGAATCCACCTCCATCTCCTTTGAGCAGTGGGATTGGGGCTAGCTTCTATGTAAAATGAGAGGTCAGATATGAGTCTTTTCTGCTGTAGGTTTCTCCATCAAGTGTCTGATAACAGAGAGAGAGGCAAAAGCGGGAACAGGAACACCTCCCAATCTATTGGGACTGGGACATACTATTTGTAGAAATCCACTAAGCATCATTTTATTATTGTAAAAGTAAGGGAAGGACTTTTTTCTCTACCAAAAATGTTGAGTAGATCCTCTTGCTAAAAAGAGTCATTTAAATATTACTGGTCACGTCACATTGTAGTTGTTTGGAAATAATTATATCCATATCACAGACAGTAAATAATAGATGTGCGTCCACTAACGTTTTATTCATGTTCTGTTTTAATATGGCAAACTTAGAAGTAATTTAATCTCCCAGTAAATTGAAGTGGTAGGGGGTTCTTCATACAGAAGACTGCAAGTTATTAATTCTGGGCAGTCTTCATCTCGTACAATTAGTCACTGTTTGCAGCTGGAAATGTTTTATTAATTTTCCATAGCAGTTGATTTTCCACAGTTTTCTCAGTTTAAATTAAGCAGTAAGAGCTGCTGTTTCTTCTTAAATAAATTTTCTTTCCCCAAAAATACATGCCTCTGGCTATGTCAATTTTCCCATTTGATTAAAGTGCCAGCAGGCAATTAATAACTTAATGCATTTTAAAGTACTTTTGTAAAAAGTAATTTGAATGGCCAAACTTGTGTGTTTGAATTGATTGTTGCAGAAGATTTATTAGGCGTTGAAAAACCCTAGAACCTTGGAAAGGACAAATGAGGCTCAGCCACCACGTCTGGACCCATGGTGTAGCCCCATAACTGACACTGACATCTGAGTGGAGACTGGCTGTCACTATGAAAAAAGGCTGAAAGATGAAAGCAAAGCCAAAATGTCTTTCCAAGGGTATGGAGGACTCTTCTAGGCCACAGCAATGATGTGGCATGTGTGATGGAGATAGGGTCCAAACACTAAATGCAATGAGCAGATACCATATGATCCCACCCTAATAACATGCCTGCAGTAGACTCATTTGTAGAGACAGGAAAGTATAATGGAGGTTCCAGAAGCCGAGAGTAAAGGAGAAAATTCCAATTACTTAATGAACTTCATTTCAGTTTGAGAAGATGAAATAGCCTCAGGGGTGGGTAAGAGGGTGAAAAATCCCACAACAAAAATGAGTATATTTAATGTCTCCGAACTGTGTACTCACAAAGGGTTAAAATGGGAAGTTTCGTGCAGTATATACTTTATTCTATTTTTTAATTTTTTCATGAGTTCTTTGAGATTTCATACATGCACACAATGTATTTTGATTATTCGTCCCCATAAGGCCTTCTAGATCTATTCCCAACCCTACATACAACTTCATATTTTTTTAAAGAATAACCCATTGAATCTAATTAATGCTGACCATATGTGCATGAGAGTGGGGCCATCCACTGAAGTATGGTCAACCTACCACCTTTTAAACTGATTAGGTAGATATGATCATATACAAAATTGCCAAAGAATAAGTAAAAGATTACATTTGTGTGTGTGTGTGTGTGTGTGTGTGTGTGTGTGTGTGTGTGTGTGTGTGAAACAGTAGAGACTAAAAGAAAACTGGCCTTCCCTCCCCTAGCAGTCATCAGTTAATAACTTCTCCCATGTCTTCTAGCAGGAGCCATGCACCTGTCCTAATAGGAGAGCAAAGGGACTGTGTTGGGAGAGATGTTGGGCCCCAGTCCCCACGGGGTCTCCATGAGTTGATAACTACAGATGTATCCTGTGTTTCTAGTCCTGGATTACAGCCTGGGCCTTGCCCCGCTGGCATCAAAAACATGAGCTCTTATACCTGGGGGTTTTCCACTGTGCCGTAGTCTGTATGTAAGGCTGCTCCCTCCCAGTAAAAAACACAGACACACACGTTCTCTCTTAGTGCAAGAGACCAAACGACTCAGTTTTTTTGTTTGTTTGTTTGTTTGTTTGGTTGGTTGGTTGGTTGGTTGTTTTTTCGAGACAGGGTTTCTCTGTGGCTTTGGAGGCTGACCTGGAACTAGCTCTTGTAGACCAGGTTAGTCTCGAACTCACAGAGATCCACCTACCTCTGCCTCCTGAGTGCTGGGTTTAAAGGCGTGTGCCACCACTGCCTGGCTACACTTGGTTTTTAATTAAATCTCCAGGCTTTTGCCCTATACTTGGACTTAGTCATGGTGTGGACGCCACAACTGGAGATTCCATTAGACTTAGTCATGGTGCAGACACCACAGGACTGTGCCACAGAGCATCCTGCCTGCTGAAGCATGGGTGATCATGAACACTAGGAAACAACCTAGAGTGTATATAGAGAAGGCACATCCAGCAATGCCAATTCATCCTGGAAACTCCTCCTAGAGAAGCACAGTGTGCTCTTCTAATTTGAAGGTGACTTGGAGGTCATGGAAACCAACAATAAAGCAATACTAAACAATAAAGGTAAGATCGAGATTCTGCTCTGTGGGGATAATCACATAGGTGTGTGTAGACTTACGGCCCAGGATTGCATGCAATGGTAAAGGCATTATGCCGATAGCCAATACACTTGAAAAATGAACAAAACCCCACCCAATTGAAAACTATTTGCTTAAAAAAAAAAAAAAAAAAAAAAAAAAAACAACCAACCAAACAGTATGAGACTGCTGTATAGGTTTTCCTTGGAATTGAAACATTTTCTTCAGGAGGGAGCCAGAGGTTAGCCTCAGAAGGTAAACAAAAGGTCACATGTCTGATAGAAAAGAAACAGGAAAGATTCTCAAGATCTCCTCCCCATCAGAATAAGGAGTCAGCAATTGCTAGGGATGGAGACTGAGCAGCTGAACAGTGGAGAGAGATGTTCAGACTAGAGCTGCCTGCGAGCTATGCAGAGAGCTCAGAGTGCAGGGTTCTGTAGTCTCCATCTGTGTTAGGGTGGGCTTTTAGTGATGGAGCAGCTTATGAGTCACCATGCTCCCTGGCACCATGTTCCCTGTCACCCAGAATCCTGACTAACTCCAAGAAAATTCATTGTGTGCGGAGTTAGTGTAAGTGTTGCAGCTCTGAGGGGTAAGGCTTCCACAACAGCTCTGAAGGGAAAGGTAGCCTGGAAATACCACAAAGTCACACAAGAGACTGGCTGCTTCTACTCGGGGGAGAAGCAGCTGAGGACTGAGCAGGAGACAGACTTCTATAGGGTTTCTTAGGGGAGGAGTTTTCCAGGCTGGGGATTGGTGAGATTTCAAGCCAAGCCCAGGAAGTGGTGGAATTTGCAGCTTGAAGATTGGGGGGTTTTCATGCTTAGGGATTGGTGTGGTTTGTAGGTTTTCAAACCCAGAAGTGGGCTGGATCCAATCCCACAGTTGAAGTCTGGTGGGAGTTAGTCTGTTGTGAGTTCCCTGAGGTGAGTAGACATGTTTGTGTTTTGTCCCCCCAGAGGAAAAGTCTGTGGAATGACAGAGGCCATTCATCACCCATTGATTTTCTTAAAGAGACATGCACTAGGGCCATAGAGATAGTGCAGGGAGTAGGATGCATTGCCGTGCCACCCTGACTATCTGAATCTGATCCTCAGAACCTGGAATGTACATGAAAAACCTGAATGCAATGGCTTGAGTCTGGAATCCCAGATCCAGCAATCTTACCTTAGACTAGAAGGAAGAGACAGGAGAGTCCTGCCAATGGGAGAAATAACAGAGAGACCCTGTGTCTTAGTTACTTTTCTGTTGCTCTGTTAAAACACCATGACTAAAAGCAACTTATGCATGAGTTTATTTGGCCTTACAGGTTACGCAGGAGAGTTCATCATGGCCAGGGAGGCATAGCAGCAGGCAGCTTGAGTGCAAATCTGAGAGGTCACATCTTCAACCACAACATGAATCAGAGGGTGAACTAGAAGTGGATTAAGGCTATAAACTTTCAAGGCCTGTATCCCAGGGACAGACTTCCTCCAGCAAGGCTACACCTTCCCAAATAGTATCACCAACTAGGGACTAAATGCTCAAATATCTAAGTCTATGGAGAACGTTTCTTTTTTGGAATTTTTTTTCATACAATTGTATTTTAATCATGTTTTTCCCCACCCCAGTTCCCAGGTTCTCCCCACTTCCCTACCCATTTTATGTTCTGTCTCTATCTCTCTCTCTCTCTGAAAAGAAGAAGAGATAGAGCTGGGCGTTGGTGGCACACGCCTTTAATCCCAGCACTTGGGAGGCAGAGGCAGGCGGATCTCTGTGAGTTTGAGGCCAGCCTGGTCTCCAGAGCGAGTGCCAGGATAGGCTCCAAAGCTACAGAGAAACCCTGTCTCAGAAAATAAAAAGAAGAGATAAAAACAACAAACAAAACCCCAAAGAAATATACACATATTCCAGAAAAATGAAATTTAAAATAAGCAAGCAAAAGACCAATAGACAAAAAAAAAAATGCCCAAACAAAGCCAAATAATAAAAGGTGTCTGTAAAAAACATACCATTAAGTTCATTTTTATTCATCAACTACACCTGGAGATGAGAAATGTCTAAAGAAATGGCCATACTAGTTCTTGATGTGTTCATAACACAGTATATATGAGCTGAAATATTGTGTCCCATAAATTTGCACAATTATTGTGTGTGTGCATGCATGTGTGTAGGTGTAAAGTGTGCTCATGAAAATAAATAAGCAAACACAACATAGTGTTGCCCACAGTGTGAATCCCTTCTGGCTTACAATAACCTGAGACTAGCCCACACCCCCTTCTGTCCATAGAACATTTTGCCTGGGCATGCAGGGCTAATGAGAACTCAGCATCAGGACCTGCGCCTGGCATCTACTCCCATTCCTCTTGAATGAGTTGGTTAAGGGTGCCTCTTTATGCCATGCTATTTAAATTAAGTATTATGTAAGCTATGAACCATGGGCTCACAAAGACAGTGGTTGTTCCTAGGAAAATATAGTCAGACATGGTAATCAGGTTTGGTAAACATGATCCTTAAAGAAACACTGTAGAGGTACTGGGCACAAAGGACAGTTAGAGCTGGGGAAAAGGGGTGGGGCTTAGGGTGGGAAGGAGTGACAAAGGAAACAAGGATTCTGAGCTTAGAGCACTTTACAGGCATGTTTAGGTTTTTACTCCATCCCAAAGAAACTGCACTAGAAATCGTGGGCAGGGTTGAGGTGACTAGAAGCTTCTGGAGTGTCATATTCAGCAGTAAGGCCCTGGTGCACTGCCTACTTTGCTGGGTGTGATAACCTTCATCAAGCCTTCAAGCATCCAAGAGGAATAACCTGTCATACTCTTTCTGGTAGAACTGGCTTGTCAGAGGAGCTACTCAGGTGCCCTCAGATGTTGAGAAGTACCCCATGGTCACATTTGCACTGTGTGGAGTCCAGAATTGGTGATGTTTTCCAGAGTTCCATATCTCCACTGTCATTAACTCAGGTAAACTTAGTCACACACAAATTAGAAGCCAAACATTTTACCTGTTAAACGTAGCACGAATAATAAAAACCCAGAGACAGATATTGGGATTAAAGCTGAAGATCAGAGAAGCAAAGTGGCCAGCCTCTAGAGAGTTCTCACCTCTACCAATGCTCAGATCAAAGGGGTGAACATGTCCTCTGATTGCATCTTCAAACTGCACTGCCCTTCAGACTGCCTAGACTGCACTGCATTCCTTCCTTATATTCCTCTCTAGTGCTGGGATTAAAGGTAAGCCATCCCAAGTGCTGGGATCAAAGGTGTAAGCTCTGTTTCTCTTTTAGACTGATTCACTCTCATGTATCCCAGGGTGGCCTTGAACTCACAGAGATCCACCTGCTTCTGTCTCCTGAGTACTGGGATTAAAGGTGTGGCTGCCACTACTGACTCTGTGGCTAACGAGTGACTTAGGTTTGTGTGGCTAACTAGTGGCTTAGCTCTGCATTCTGATCTTCAGGCAAGCATTAAATTAGATTACAAACAATCACTATAGTCAAATCTAAGCCCATGTTCTTTATTCTTGCAGTGTCTCCCATGTTCCCTTCCTAAACTGGGACGCTATGCCCTTTGCCTTGTGGAGGAGTGGGCCAGCTCCATGGTTCTTGCCAGCTTACTCTAGGACTCTCCACTGAAGAAATACTCAAGCCCTGAATCATCTCTCTGAAGATATTATCAGCCACTGATAGTTTTGTTGGATTTCTTTTGAGGAGACCACACTTGGGGGCTAGCCAGTTTCCTTATCTCCCAGCCTGGAGAAAAGGCTAAGTGCTTTCAAACAATGCATCACTGAATGGCACCTCGTCAATGTAGATGATAGTGTTGGACTGTTTCCTTAGTCCTGAGCTGGCTCATCATCCTGACAACTCTGAATGTAATGTAGACACCGCATCATGTTCCTGGCCCAGGAGACAAAGACGTGGGGGCTTTTGTTCTAAGTATCAGTCTTCTGTGTATTTAACAGTGTGGTACACACCAGTTGGGGATTGTGTGTCACTCTCTACAAGAAACAATGCCACCTGGGTTGTAGAAGGAGGAGAGGGAGAAGGGGGAAAAGGAGGTTAAGGAAGAAGAGGAGGAAATAATAAAGCAATAGGGTTAATACCAGCACCACTCTTTTGAACCCAAAGCTCAGCTCAGCACTTGCCATGTTTTCTATCAAGTTGCAATATAGGGAACAGATGATCTCCCATGGGCCAATACCGAGATAGAGAATTACCTAAATCGCTCTCCATTTAGAAAGTTCAAAAATCATTCTAAATAAAATGTAGAATATAAGAGAGTTGCCATTTCTTTTTGCCTTCTGGATGCTTGATTTTTTTCATAATATTTATTTTTTCATAATCTTAGATAACATCATTTTTCTGATAAAAAGGAAATATTCTTTGGAATGCAAATGAGGTGGTTGTATTAGTTACTTTTTTTACTTTAAACATAATTTTTATTGATTCTTTGGGAATTTCATATCATGTACCCCAATCCTATTCATTTCCCATTCCCTCCGTTTCCACCTTTTACACTTGTAGCATCCCACCAAAGGAAAACTTAAAAAAAATAATAAAATTAAAATTAAAAATTAAGCAAATACAGTTAAGAATATTAAAACAAACAAGCAAAACAACAACAACAACAAAACCTCCACTTCACATCTCCATCTTTCCTGCCTCTCCATCACCTCTTCATTTGTCTTAGTGGCTTTGGGAGCTGCAGTATGTCATGTGGTATACCCTTTTGTCCAAACAGCTTTACTTGCAACTATTCATTGTGTATTGTGTTGGTCAGGTGCAAGGCCTCTGGCTTCTGGTACAGCATCATCACTGGACCCTCGCCAACACTCCCCTGGGATATCCTGTTGTTGCCCTGAGTCATGGAGATCCTGTGGCTATGGTTCCACAGGACCATAAGGGTTCCAGCAGGTCATAGATGGAGGGTAGATGTTGTGGAGTGCCTACTCAAAACCATGGATGTGTGCCTGGGTGGTCGCTGAGTTGGTAATTTTGGGTTGCTGGGACCACCCATCTTAGGTGAGAAGTGGAGCCAGCTTTCCCTAGAGTGGCTAGCCAGCTCTCCTATGAGGGGCAGGACTAACAGTGGGTGACAGTGGCTCTTCAGTAAGTGGGAGCCTACTCTCTCTGGGCCAATGAGAGGCAGGACCAGCTTATCCCAGCCCTCAACACATGGTTCTTATGGACTCCTGTGCTAACAGAGGTAGCAGACATCAACACAGACCCCAGATGCATGAGGATCATGGACCCAAACATGGCCGTCAGCAGCAGCTTGGGTCTGGTTGCCACCATGGTCCTGAGTGACAGCGCAAGTCTCTCATATAGGAATAGGTCCATCAGGAGATTGGTCTCTAGACTCCAGATAGTCCCAGTTGGTGGCCCAAACCCTGGGAAGTCACATGACCTTTGATTGTAACAGGAGTCATGGATATCAACTATAAGGAGCCTGTAACCAGGCAGGCAAAGGCCTGGCTGGAGGGAGATTAAGACAGAAGCTTACAACCAGGCAGGCAAAGGCCTGGCTGGAGAAAGAGAAAGAGAAAGGGAGTATAGGCCCACTACCCAGAGATAAGAGTGAAAAGTGTGGCTTCAGTAGGACCATAGACCCAGACATGGGCCCTGGCCACAGCTTGGACCCTGATGTCACTATGGGTCTGGGTGGCAATGCAGGGCACCCTAATATGCATGGCTCCAGAAGCTGCACATACCTCGAATCCCAACATGGCCTCGGATGTTGGCCCAGACCCCAAGCATCCACACAGCCTTCAGTGATAACAGGAACCACAGACATCAACACAGACTGCCGATGCGGCAGGGCCACAGACCCAGACGTGGCCCTTAGCAGCAGCCTGGGCCCTGAGGTCACTATGGTCCCAGGTGGCAAGCAGGTCTCCCATATCAGCCCATTTCTCACCACCCCCCTCTTCAAATCTGCCTCCCTCCATGGGACATGAACCATTCTGCCTCTCTCTCTGTCCCATGCCCCATCATATATTGGTTTCTGACAACTAGCATCACAAGACACAGGGCTGGCTCGTGGCTTTTCTTCCTCACAGAGGGCAAGTGACCTAGTCAGGAGTGTGAGTGTCCTTCATCTTACTGGGCCCTCAGTTACTTTTCTAAAATAGCTGTTATTTCTTCCTTCTTTCCTTCCTCTTCCTCCCTTTCTTTCTCCCTGCATCCCTTCTTTTTCTTTCTATCCTTTCTTCTATAAGCCATCACAGTATGAATGAATCAGAGTCAAATACATGACCTCTGACAGATGCAAATCTCCAGGTCCTGGTCCTTGGGTTGCTAGCTCAGCAGATGTGCTCTGGGATGCAGGAGAGTCCTGCAGTATCTGTGACACTAGACCTCACATCCTGGCATCGTCCATGGCCTCTGTCCCTGCTGCACTCCCAGCCAAAGCTACTTTGAGTTTTCTGTTGTGTTGCACCTGCTACCCTCCCCTAAGCAACTCTGCATTGGTTCCTAAAGAAACATCAATATCTAAGTCTTTTGTTATTATTATTCTACTGCTCGAAAATGTTCAGCATAGGATAACTTCACTGAAAAGTTAAATGGAAAAGGTAAGCTAATGGCTCTTGGCTGAGGGAAAGAGCATTCTAAGCAATAATTTTAAATCCTTTTCCACGAGTACCTGGAAGCAATGAAAGAGGTGGGCAAAAACTGAGCTCGGTGGAAAGCATTAAGCAATTATCATTGAAAATTATTTCAGTTTAAGTAGGAAGAATAATTTATTTTATAAAATCATATGAGGAAGATTCTGCATGGTCAGTCTGCTTTCCTGTGGCACAGTTGAAGAGGTAAGCAAAATGATGAATCCCACACATCTCAACTCATTGAACGGAGTTGACTGAAGTATGGCCTACCTGAAGATGGGGACGAGTCATAGCTCCATATAGACTGGTAAATGGGATTAAATGATTTTTAATGACCCTAAAACCTAATGAAATGAAAACATCAAATCTTGCATGAACAATGAGCCCCCCTCCCACCACACAACGAGCACTTCCCAATATTTGTGGAGGTCCCCAAGAGCATAGTGCTTAAGGACCCTCTGTCAGGCCTATAGCGGCTCCTTATAGTTCATCTGTGTTTAAGAAGACAGAGATGAGCCTGAAGCATGGTACCCAGGCTGGCAAAGAGCCAGCTTGGGAAACATGTGATTTGGCCCCGCACTCTGGCTCCACAGATGCTGTCAAGGCAAGGGCAATGACTCAGTGTGACTCTAGCCTCTCTCTCTACTCTGTCGGATAGTGTCTCAGGTTAAGATTCCAGGCCACCTGTCTCAGAATCCTGTAGGTATGCTCATTGCCACTCAACTCCGCTGACTCCAGTGTACTGGAGTGAGTGTTGGAAATGTTCATTTTTCGTTAGAAATGTGTCTGGGGTAGAAGCATACTACTGAAAACATATTCCCCCAGGCAATTGTGATGCATATCCTAGTAGTAGACCCACTGGCATATTATAGGTGCTAGATAAAATTTAATGAATGGAAGGGTGTGGGAATGACTTTTGGGGGAGTGTGACACAGACAGGACAGGGGGAAGGCGAGGTCTTGAAGCAAAACACGTGGCAGCAACAGCAATGGAAGAAGAGCCAATGTCCCGATGTAGGAAGGTGCCTGGTGGGGTAATGGGACCATTCTGAGTCACCTGTTTTCTAGGACAGACTCCAGGTGGGATTCCTGGCTCAGTCCTCTTCTCCCTGTGTGCCACCATTTCCTTTCTCTGTCTTTACCCAACAAAAGGCAGCTTTCTCCAATTGTTTCTACAGGGCACATATTCATCTTCATCATCCTGTTTACTTCAGATCCCTGAAGATGAGCAGATGAAGGAGTCATGATGTTCTTTCTGTTGTTGTTTTATTTTTTAATTGACAAATAGTAACTGTATCGAGTGTGGTATGATGTTCTGATATAACTGTATAGGGTGGCATGATCATACCAGGCTAATAAACATACTTGTCATCTCAAGTGTTTAGCATGCATTGTGATGCACTTATAGTCCTTTTAAGAAATCTTTTTTTTTAATAATTCAACCATGATTTTAGCAGACATTTGTATGGACATACTATAGACTCAGGGTAATGATGTGATAGCCAGGCAGAACCCTTTCAAGGCCATGGATCGCCACCTTAGCTATGTGCTGTAACCACACAGAGACAGTGAAGTGGCCTCAGGACTGCCCAGCTTCACTCTCCTTCCCCCATTCCCGACATACTGGTCTGGGGCACAGCCTGGGCACAGGGTCCTTGAAAAACTCAGTCAGTTGTGATCTGCCATCGGGCTAGAGAAGACTCTTCTAGAGACAGCAAGCAACAGCTGACAAATCCTGGCAACAATCTTCTCATAGCCTGACAAATGAGTCCATGGGAGACTGGTTACAGGTATCAAGGAATACCATCCCAGTCCTGAGAGGAATTAAAACATGCCTCAACCAAATAACTTTGAAGATCTGTTAAATCACTTCTAGAAATGTCAGGAGACCATGAAAGCTACTATCATTAGACCCATTAAGTCATCTCCAAAAACCTGAGGTTCGTGACCCCATTGTGGGGGGTTGAACAACCCTTTCACAGGGTCACCGAAGATCATCAGAAAACACAGATATTTATATTATGATTCATAACAGTAGCAAAATTATAGTTATGAAGTAGCAACAAAAATAGTTTTATGGTTGGGGTCGGCACAATGTGAGAAACTGTATTAAAGGGTGGCATCATTAGGAAGGTTGATAACTGCTGTATTAGAGCAGTTTTTCAAAAACAGAAATGCAACCAGTTGGGTCTCTTTATAGTTGAGGATGACCTTGATGTTCCTCATCACCTACATTAGGGATAAAAATCAGAGGCCACCTCTGCCATTTGTGCTTTCTAGCCAGGTTAGAGTTCTGGAGCACACACCCTTTTTACAAAGAAGCTACCTTGCCATGTTATTTTTGCTTTGTTTGTGTTTTCCTTTGTGAGATGATGGAGGGCGTCCTTCTGTGTATATGATTGTCTTATTGGCTGATAAAAAAGTACTGTTGGCCAATAGGAAAACAAGATAGGTGGGACAAGAGTCAAGGAGGATTCTGGGAAAGGTAGGAGAAAAATGCAGAGTCACCATGTGAGCCCGGGAAGACAAGATGCTTCTGCTGGTGTCCTATAAGATAAGTCTTATAAAATATATAGATTTATGATAATTAAGACTGAGCTAGCAGATGAGAAATCCTAGTCATTGGCCAAGCAGCATTTGTACCTAATAGAAGTCTCTGTGTGTTACTTGGG